AACCCAGTCAAGTTTAAGCAGGTTGAGGAATGTGTTTCCTCTCTTTCGTGAATGGTGCCCAAATCCCATTATGATCCTAACGGCCCAGCTCAAAAAGTTCTTGGGGGGGGAGTGGGGTGGGGTAGGGGGGAGAAAAAAAAAAAGGTTCAACTAGAATGTTTCATTCAACCATTTAATGTTAAAGGACTTTGACATAACTTTGATTGACTTGAAATTCAGAGCAAAAAAAAGAAGGTGTGCGCAGAAGAAGTGATGGCTCCAGCATACCCTGAAAGTTCAAGCAGCAGCAGCACATAGTGCATTTCAAAATGCCCTCAAGATGATTTGCCCTTCAGCAGCAGGTATGCAAGTTTTTCCTAAAGAAGCACAATTAGCGCATCTAGAACCTTAGTCTCACTCAGGCCAAAAGCTGGCCAGCTGAATTGCCCATATAACCAAAAAACAGACCAAAGTTTCATCAGTGAATTGACTGCTCTGTTTAACTTCGTAACAGCAGCATGATAGAAAATATGTTAAAGTTACTGCTTAGTGAAACGTAAAAATTCCCATCAAGAGTCTAATAAACAGTCTATGCATGCAACGTAATAAAAGTACCAACTGCCAAAAATGTGATTCTTTAACACCACAAAATAATTTCAGTTATTTCTAGATAAATAATCTCTATGCACAGGGGACCAATGATAAACGGGAGACTGCCACACTGCCTATTCCGTTTGAGAGCTGCGTGGGATGACTCTGCTTTTTCACACTCATGCAACCAGTAATGTCACGTTTTCACAAGAGAGGGGAACTTCAGCATCTAGCATGTACAGAGCAAAACACAGTCTCAAGGAATATAAAATGGAATCACACCAACGAAGTAAGTGAAACACAAAGCGAACAGACTCCGCAACAAGAATTAGCACAAACTGGAGTACTGCAGCGAGCAGTAATTACCAGGCTCCCCTCTCACCTGCGGAGCTGAGCAAAGAGCCTCTTAGTTAAGGCTCTGCACCGTGACTCAGGAGACCCAAATTTAATTATCTTTTTTTTTTTTTTTTAACTGCACACTTCCTCATGTGACAGAGTTTACGGCATTTGATTTTTTTTTCCACATCCTGCTTCTGCTTGTTCCTAGGTGAAGGAACCGCGCTGACTTCACCCATCTTAAATGTTCAGTTTCCAGAAGCAGAAGGGATAGATGAGTAAGCACATAAAAGAAATGCAGATATCAGTACTGAGATCCAGGATTCTTAATTAATCTGCATGCAGCTCTCCGCCTAGCCACAGACAAGTTTTACAACACGAGACACCCTTCCGCTCATTTACAGCCATACACCAACATGACATCGTGCTGCCAGGCACTACACGAAAGCAAGCCCGGAACGCTCTCGACACAGAGGTATGAAGACCCCCACCACACTTCTTTAGCTGATACAAACTGCGACATCAGCACAAGAGTACGATACCGCTTCTGGTTTTGAAGACATGAGGCTCACTGAGGAGCAGCCTCAGCAACGTGCGGCTTGCCACCTCGGCTTAGGCTCAAATGCTGCACAGAAGAAAAGCAAACACCCGCGCAGTGGCTACGGTTCCTTCTTGCCGCTAATTACACAGGGCCCACAGGAGTGTGATGCTCTCAGGATACAGACGTCCCTTCAGCACTCTGCATCTGGTGAAGGTGCAAAGGTGATCTAATATTCTGCATTTGCAAACAGAGATTTTTAGCATGCTTCTCCCAAAGAGCTTTTATTCCAGGCAAAGCGTGCAACAAAGTGAAATAAGGGGGAAAAAAAAATTATGGTAAGAACAATACGAATAGAAAACAGGTCTCTCAAATTTCCACAAAAAAAGTTGAATAATTAAAAAAAAAAGTCCAGAAACTATAAAGCAGTATACTAAAACCAAAATTAGTGCCACCAACCTGCCATGCTCAGTTCCAACTATCATAAAAGCTGGTTTCAAAGTCACTAAGTTGCGTTTGGTCTTAAAAGATGTAGGCAGAAACTTCTAACACAGCACATAATTCAGCGTTTAATAATACAAATGGGATTCAGTTGAGATGTTCTAACTATCTAGCGATAACTTTGGCATGGTTTATTGAATAATTAACACCTTACCTGTAACATAGGAGCCTTCACTGAAATAATTTTCTTTACAGCAATCCCAACCCTTAACTGGCAGCCTCTAATAGTCCAATAGCTGACAAATTCTTCTGTATTTTACTAATAGTTAATGTTTACACATGCCACAAGTGGAATTTGTACCGCAAAGGTAGGCTCAGCTGCCAATTTCAGTTCACAAAAGAACTATTCAATAATACACTCCACTAAGCAATCATAATTGAGGCTAGTGTTTTAAAATTCACTTTCCCTTTCAGAGACGTGATATTATGATATGATAAATACTATAATTGGAATTTATTCCGCATTTCATAATAAATTACTGAAGATGTGCGTGGTCATTTAAGTAATATATCCTAATTTTTTTCCTATGTATCTGTTAAATATACCATTAAAATACCAAAAATAAAAAGAAAAAAAAGCTAGAATTCAGTTGAAGCTTCAGGTCACACTGTAATATGCACAACCTTTCTCTGCTTGTTTGTACCTGATCCCCTAGCAAATACTGTTCTCTCATACTTCCTAAAGCTTTCGGTACCCCTTACAGACAAAGAGCAAACAAAGCAAGCATACACTTTCTGCGCACCCTGCGGGTATCTTGCACAGGCAGCACGATGTTGTAACACGACTGTACCTATTTTCATAAGCCTGAAAAGTTTTCATAAGCCTGAAAAGTTTTCATAAGTTGGTTACAGAATCCAAATCCAGGGATTTGGTGCTAAAGCCGTTCCGAGTGCCACCTCGGGCACTGCAGGCACCGAGGGAAGGTGCTGGAGGCCGCGGGTGCTCTCCCCGCAGCCAGCCAGCCCAGGGACCTGCCACCAGCCCTCACCCATCCAACGACAGTCGGTGCCGACAAGGGAACTGGGAAGCTCTTTCCAGGAGGGCTCAGGACAACCCGCTACTCTCCAGCTCCTCTCCTGCTTTCGGAAAATGTACAAGCTGGCAAAAGACAGTCAAAAATACCGAGACAACCAAAATACCAGCATTCAAATCCTCCCCCCTGGTACTCTGTTACCACAGGGTTCACCCTGTCCAAAGGTGCCCCCAAAAAGATCTTTCCACAGCTTTTCCAGCGCTGCTGTTTTCTGCTCTGTCAAGAAAAGTCATCCAAAGGGCCAGTTCAGCCTATGCAGCCTCAGAGGCTCGGTCAGGGACGACAAAAGCCCTGCACCTCTGGGGAGGTCGGGAATTTTGGTAAGCTGCTTCACTCAGCGAAACATTCCTTCTCCCTTTGGTAACTTAGCACAATCGACGCGGCACTGGACAATCGAAGGGAAAATTACTTCCATCCATTACTCATAGGCCAGTAATCATGCACTCCACAGCATTAAAAACACCAAGAAAAGCTTTATAGTTTATTTATAGTTTAACCTTAAGAAAATCGTGTTCCTAATAACATCTTCTGCCGTACCCGGCTGCTACCTGGCAATACAGACACAAAAGAATTTTACACAGATGAACTTCCCACAAGTCAGTCGAGTTAGAAAACAGGAACATCAACATACTGAAAGCTGTACCAACTGGATGGCTCCTCTAAACGCACTCTCAAGCCCAGTGCAGAGCCCTCCACAACCCAGAGCCAACAGCCCGGTTCTATCCCCGTATCCACGCAGAAGATCCCTGCACCAGACAGCCAAAGCTACCGACTTTAACCTGAACCCATGCTCCCAACAACAAACAAACAAAAAAAACCACCAAAAAAAAAAGAAAAAAAAAAAAAGAGAGGGAAAGTTGCTTGCAGGACTGAGGCCAAACAGGCAGCTATTTGGCATGTTTATTGGCAGTTTTGCAGTCCCGACACAGAGGGAAGAGCCAGACTTTGCTCTCCCCTTCCACACCAGAGGCACACAGGGAAGGAAAACGCTCACTGCGATTACGCGCACAGTGCTCTTTTCATCATGAGAAGCCATGAATGTTTAAGACTTCCTCTTTTGGGAGCACAAGGTTATTTTTAAATTAGGCAGAAAAAACAAGTTGCGTGGATTTTTCTCAAAAGGCTACTTAGGTCTCTGCTGCTTCCTCATCTTCCAGAGCATCTACATGGTTATATTGTTTCCAGGCCTTTAAATTACATTTTTTGAGAACGGCTCCTAGTTGCTTCCCGGGCCCCACTTCGTACGTGTAAGGAAATTCTGTTCCTTGTTTTCTTTCGTATACAGAATGCATGGTCTGTTCCCACATAACAGGTGAAACCACCTGCTTCACTAACAGCTTCTGAATGTGCTTTGAGTGCATGTACTTTTTGCCATCAACATTGGAATAGACACAGACCAGTGGTTTCTGAATCTCAATCGATTTTAGGACGTCAGCCAATGGCTCTACTGCTGGTTCCATAAGCCTGGTATGAAAAGCCCCACTGACTGGAAGCATTTTTGCACGTGTAAAATAATATTTTCGGGCATTCTCCTGCAAAAACTCCAAAGCCTATAAAAGAGAGAGAGAAGTGAGAGTCTTGCACGACAAAGGTTTACTCAGTCACCCCACAAGAACCACCTCACCAGACTTATCGCGATAAAGGGATTCCTCTCCTTACCCAACAACTGAGCACACGCTGGAAAAAAACCCCACAGATCAAATACTTTTGTTTGGACAAACTGAGGCCGTACATAATTTCCACACAGAAGTGCAAAGCAGAAGTTTTCAAAAATTAAATGTTAAATTCAACTAAAGGGATAGTTATTCTGAAGCAATACCTGTAAGTGTCCTGCAATGACTCTGCTGTCTGGAAACAAATAGTTTGAAATTTCACATACGGGGTTTTCTATACCCAGCAATTCACAGTGTTTACGGGCTTCCAAGCAGGCAAATTTGTAATTTGCCTCTCGCCGACCAATAACCGATAGCATTCCACTGGGGACAGCTTCCGACGCCTTTTGCATGGCTTCGGCACGCACTTTCACCGCATACAGCGCTAAGGAGAAAAACAGAGATGCTCAGTAAATATAAGCCCCGAGAAAACACCGTTAAAGGCGCCTGGCATCTGCGCGCAAGAAAGGGTGGCTGTTTACTCTCATGAAACGTCAATGCTTTTAATGCTGTATTACACATGTTAAAGTGAACAGTGGAAGTAGAAAGTAAAATTTATCCTCTAATAAGAAAACAGGCAGGAGGGAAACAGTGGTAACAGGCGATGCTTTGGAAAAACCACGGGGCGGGGGTGGGAGACCCTGCTTAGGGGGTTCAGCACATTTCCCGGGCACCTTCGGCAAAGCCCAGGGCTCCAGCGAAGACCAGCGCCGCGAACTCCCCCAC